TAATATGCAGGTAAAACACTATACAATATTTCAGTATGCCTATATTTTCATGGTTTTTTTTTTCAAGTTGAACAAGGCCAAGGAACTGATGCGCCCTGGACAAAGCTTGAAAAATGCAGGAGCTTCTGAGAATGATGCAAAAATATTTTGCTATCCTCTCCTGAACATCCTTGCAGCTGCTAATCTACTCAAACTTGATGTGCTCTTCTTGGATGTGGATGGAGCTGAGCCAGAAATTCTGGAAACCCTAAGGTTTCAAGACACTGACATAAAAGTACAGTATGAAATCATGGTCTTACAATATTGCCAAAACCCATTGAAACCATATTATAATGCACTATACTGTATACACACTTGATAAATGGTGACCCATTTTCTCAATGAATGCTGCACAATATCAGTGATATATAGTAAAGGCATCGTGCAGCAGATAAATCAGCACATCAACTGTACTAATACATTCGGAATTCTGCCAACAGAAATTCCACATATCATATGATGTATGAGACAATTATTTCCAACATTTTTATATATAACTGTTGAGCAGGATCATCATTGTGGATCAGGTTTCATGAAGAGCAAGTCTTGACCCTTGATAATTTTCTTGAGCTCATTCCCCCAAGGTTTGAGAAGTGTTTCCAATTTTTCTTTGACTGCTGTGCAGTTTTTAGGAACCAAGGATCCACTGTGGATGCACTCAACAACCAAAGCCTGAAAATAAGTTAAACAAATATATGTCCTTCATGCAATCAGGCAAATTAACTCATAAACTCACACCAAATGTTGATGCACACACATGGATGGAAGGAAAAAACCCTGTTTTTTATACAGTCCAGCTCATAACAAATGTTTGAAAAATAATTTTTGAAAATTTATTGTTTTCTTTATCAGCATTTTATTGTGGCATTTAGGTTTTTTGCTGTTTATTCAAAACAATAAAATTCAGAAAATCAGTCACATTTTCTGTCATAATATTAAATGAGGATTATACAGGCAAGTAATAAACCATGATCTATAATACACTATATACTGTACAGTATTGCTTACATATATACTGAGCTTTCATATCATTGTCAATAAATTTGGAAGTCTTCCAGCCTGTTTTTGAGAATATAGATTCTGGTTTTGCTTCTTTATTTGGAAAGGGTAATTGAGAAAATGGGTCACCTTTTATCAAGTGTGTATACAGTATAGTACATTATAATTTTGGTTTCAATGGGTTTTGGCAATATTGTAAGACCATGATTTCATACTGTACTTTTATGTCAGTGTCTTGAAACCTTAGGGTTTCCAGAATTTCTGGCTCAGCTCCATCCACATCCAAGAAGAGCACATCAAGTTTGAGTAGATTAGCAGCTGCAAGGATGTTCAGGAGAGGATAGCAAAATATTTTTGCATCATTCTCAGAAGCTCCTGCATTTTTCAAGCTTTGTCCAGGGCGCATCAGTTCCTTGGCCTTGTTCAACTTGAAAAAAAAAACCATGAAAATATAGGCATACTGAAATATTGTATAGTGTTTTACCTGCATATTAATTCTGAAATGGAATCATCATAGAGAAAAATATGAACAAAAATAAATTTAATCCATCAAAAATTTTCCAAAATTTGTAGATTTATAATATTGTAAAGCACTGTACATTCGAATGAAAATTTGCTGTTGCATATATTGCAGAAAAAATGTGTTTTTGTGTTAACCCAGAAATAAAACCTGTTAACAATATATTATATTCCATGAACGTCGTTTTCTTCCAAGACTCTTCTATTTACTAAAGCTGATGCATAAAGATTTTAGACTGATCGACACAATGACGACAGTTATAAGTTAGTGACATCTATGTACAATTTAAAAAAATAATATCATGAAGTTACTGGAATCCCGTTTCCAAACGTGCGCTGCTAAAATTTGTGTTCCACGTATATTTTCTTGAAGGTTGTTCATGGTAATGATGTGCCACGAAAAAATAAAGTTGGGGAGAAAAAGTAGCGACAAATTCAATTATGTGATGGTCAGTGCTTAAAAATACCGAACGTTCATGTATCTCATCTGTATGTTGAAAATGTGCGTATAATTTGATCGGACGACAGAGTCGGAAAGCTGCCTGGGATTGGAGGTGAGTTCGTGGAAGTTTCCCGACATTCAAGGTAATGTTTCCAGTCGCTGTACTTCCAAAGCTCCTTTTTAAGCGTGCATTTTATGGTTCAATCGCAGTGACCTCGTTCCGCGCAGTTTCGAATGAAATTCCCGCTCCTGCGGCTGAATTTCTTTGTGGAAAAGATGCAGAACAGGTGAAAAGAGTATGACGCAATGAAATAATTTTGACATCCTCCGCTAACGAAAACAGTCACGTGCTTCATAAAATTCAGTGCACGGCTATCGAGTTCTCGATGCGTTATGCTTGCAACAGAAGCGTGTTCATGCTAGCTGAAAATCACCTGTGGTTCTTGTCTGTGTGTAGAAGTGAGCATACAAGAACGGAATAGTTGCCCCGGCCGTTTTTTTTCCATCGCTTGCGTTCGAAAAAGAAAAGAAAAGGGTTTATCCGAAAGCAATCAGAGCATGAGCGATAGGTGGGTCTGGTTCTGGTTATTTGTCTCCCGGAAGTGTTGAAGTTGAATTATCAGTTACAGTCGTGTTCCGTGTTACTTAACCCCAGACCGGGGCTTATGATCTTAGATTACTCAGCATATTTCTTCCCTTAGAATTGTACAATGACGCCGCACACTCGGCAAACATTCCGGGGTGTCAGTTTTTATTTGATTTGCTTTTGTAAGACGTTGAATTAGAGTTGGCGTTGGCCACTGCCGTGACGTAGTCGTAATGACAACCAGCCGTGTGACACAAGTAAATGCTCTTCTCATTAGGCACGATGTTGCGCATGAGTGCGTTTGCTGGAAACTTGAACCACTTCATATTGCGTCCCTCTTTCGCGTATATGAAGATCGTTGTTCGCAAAAGTGTCGATGCCGCGAGAATCTCAGTGTCGCTTGCCCAAGTACCTACCTGAGTGTGAGACGTTTTGCTAGAAAAAGTGAAAACAACTTGATAACGCTGTGTTGAGGGGTGTGAACTTACTGTGGTCATTTTGGATTCTTTGATGTATTCTGGTGTTGATTTGGAGTCGTGGTGTGGTTGAAGAGCAGCAGAAGCGATAGGATGCTTCATAAAATCAACCAGTCGAGATCTTAGGTTTTCGTGATCAGCCCCGGAACCCGTGATGGCGATTGCCATGGCTCTAAAGAAACAGTTTCCGTCAGCCATAGTTCTTATGACTTCCGCGGGGAATGTCAAAGGAACGTCGGTTTGCTTCGGTGTGTGTTTCCTGCGGATCGGAACTTGCATGACTCTGCTCGCCATTTTCTGCCAGTCGTAGTCCACGGGTGTGAAAACCAGGTCTGGAGTTTGGCTACTGGCTTGTTCTGAGACCCATGGCGAGATTTTATCCGATGCCCAGGTTTTGAATTTCTCCGCGTCTCTGACGAGCAAGTCGATGTTTGGCAGGTTCTCGTCGTTACGTGCTTCTTTTTCGTTTTCCTCGTCGCTGGGATCGTTTCCGTTTTCTTGCGGGTCTTCTTCGTCGTAATACTCAAATTCCTCGGTTTCCGCATTCTCTTCTTCCGGTCCTCTCGTTGATAATTCATTCGGCTTTTCGAGTTCGTCTTGAACGTCTACTCCGGAAGTGGATCTGGCCCTTTCCTCGGTTCCTTCCCTGTGGAAATTACAAGTTCCTGGTGACATTTTGTGAAATATGGTCGAGTACGTGACACGAAATTGTGAAAATTTTGAGTTTTACCATGTGAGAAACTCCTTATGATCGGATTTAAGGTGTTGTCAACTGTTGAGTGGAAAAAAATTAACATGCTTGAAGACTGAACAGGTATTTTCAAACTCGAATCGGAAAACTTGACTTAACGGTGTTGTGAAGTGTGATTGGTGGATTCACTCTCAAAATTATCTTGATTTGTTGTGTATTGATACAAAAAAAGTGCCAAAATATCCTCGCAGAAACCTCTCAGACATCAGCGTTGAGCCGCATGAGAATATTCATCAGCTTTTGTCGAGCATGCTGGAAAAACTTGGTGGACTAACTTGTTGAAGGTTAAAGAAACATGATTAACGAGTAGTTTCACTTGTCGAGCGCGTCAGAATGTGCCGAGTGTTCCTCGGAAATTTTTGAAGCCAGTGAAAGAAGTACGTATTGTGTTATGAAAAAAAATGATTGAAATAATTTTTTTCTTTTCTTTTCAAGTTAATTGTTTAGACGGTATTGCGCGAAAATTCCTCGTGTGTGAGTGTGTGTGAAAGAAGTGATGTATAAAGTCCGTACGTTTATCGCCAGTGCGGCGCCACTGGCGTCGCATTGCTTCGAAGGACGATTGCTTTGTCTTTCCAAGTTGGAATGTGTGTTGCCGGTTGTTGCGGCGAGGTTGAGAAGTACCAAGGCCTCGCCCGAGTCCTTCCTCAATGGTTCTTCGTCGAATTATGTGGAGGAGATGTACAACCGGTGGCTGGAAGATCCGAGAAGCGTCCACGCAGTGAGTTAACTTTTATTGGGTTCTATTCATGGACCTCTTTCAAGGGATAAAAAAAAATCTAGTAGGGCGGGAAAGAAAGAGGAACTGCGGGAAATTGTAATTTTGTGATATTCTGGGCCTTAAATTGCTTCTTGAATGAGTTGCCGGGATGCTATAATTCACTGTATTCTTGTCAAATATTTATAGAAAGAACTAGATAAGTTTGCCTGAAGTGCACTTGTTGATAATTGTGTGTTGTATTTTATTTTTATATGAACCAATTGAATCACACTTAAATTGCTTGTTGATTTTTGGTTCAAGCTTCAACCTTAGGGGAATGTTGGCTAGATGTCGCCTGAACTCCTGAACTGACGAACATTAATTCTAGAACAACTTAACCTCCTTCAAACATGCCCGTATAAAATTTGACTTGGTTTTGGAACGTCACTTTAATTAGCTTTTATTTTTTGCTGGAAATAAATATTAAGAATTACAGGGAACTCACATGTGTGATTTTTGGCCTTAAACTGTAAATTAAATGAGTTGACAGACAGAATGCTGAACATGGAGGCAAGGGTTGGTCCAATTATTCCTTCACTGCATTTTAAAGTGCATCAGCTTAAATTTTCACTACTTTTCTCTTCCTGTGTCAATAACATGATAGCCGAAAGACCACCAAAACATTTTGAGTTATGGAGGTGTGAGGATGAAAGCCTTCAAGTTAAGGAGGTTCTTTAATGCGCTGTTTTTAAGGGAATCAAGGCAGAGGCTGGAAGAATATATTGACATAGGTAGTTACAATATCTGAATTAATGAGCTTTGATTATCTAGTTTCAACTTCATGTAACAACAAGAAATACGCAATTTGGGACCCCACCATTTTTTTTTATTATTTTGGTTATGCCCAGTGAAGAAAATCCGCATTGAAAGATTTTAAACTCACTTCCAACTGATTTTGTTCTGGTTTCTTGTCATCTGAAATATTCTGTGTCCTATTGCATGCACAGAATTAAAAAGGACGTACAGTTTATCCAGGTTTTGTGGTTTTCCCTAGCAACTTCTCTTACTGTGTCTTGCACAACTCATTGGCCAACACTCTTTCTACTGGCACCCTTTTTGGCTGTCCAAGTTTACTTTTACTGTTTGCGCATAAACTAAATTGCTAAAAGGGATATGGACACCTCTTCCAAGCACTCAATGTCTGACTTGTCCTTGTGGGAAAATACGTACATATTCACTATCTTTTACTGTATTCAGAAATAAAAATGAGTTCATTCATTTCTCAACATAATGGCTATTAAGAAGAAATATCTTATATTAATTTCTTTATTCATGTTTCAATATCAGAATGAAACTTCGTTACCAAAAAAATATCCTTGATGGAAAAGCACTTCATTTCTCACACCAACAAAAAAAAAGACAACGAAGGATAAAATTATCTGACTTAGTTTGAGAAAGCATTTAGAATATGAGTCTGATTTTTCAGTGGAAACTAGGCCTGCAGAATTAAGTTTACAGAATTTTAAAAATTTATTCTGTATGAAACTTGGACTTCTGCATTTACCATTTCTCGCTGGTGTCTGCAGAAACTTTTTCTATGAGAAATATGTGACATGTCTATTTGATTTTGATCAGTTTTTGTTATCGATGTTGACAAGTTTGGAAATTTGAAATGTTTTCCTTCTCCTTTTTTTTTACAAGTCATGGGACCAGTTTTTCCGGAACACGGATGCTGGTGCAGCACCCGGAGAAGCTTACCAACCTCCCCCGACGGGTCTCGGCGTGTACAGTGGCAACACTTTGCCTCTGGCGTCCATTTTACCCAGTTTGGCCCTGTCTGGGTCGAAAACTGGTCACGTGGACGAGAAAGCCATTGCCGACCATTTGGCTGTGCAAGCCATTATTCGATCCTACCAGGTATTCCATATGGGTTCACCTGTGGGGTGGGCTTCTTATCCAGCACAGGCAGAGAAGTGACTTTAGTTGACCTCACGTTTTACATTTTGTATGTATGGATGTATGTATGTGTGTGTGTGTGTTTGTGGGAAGGAGGAGGATCACGCATTTTGTTTGATGGGTTTGTTGTGGTACTTTTTACTTGTTACTGTATATCCTTGTTTATTTGTCAATCTTCACAGATAGATGTCGCCTCAATTATTAACCTGAAACCTATAATTTCAAGCAAAATGAGAATGTACTGTACTTCAAAAGCCAACAGTCAAATTTAGATTGAAATTAGTGTTAGGGTTGTTGACAAAATTTTTCCTTTGTTCTGAATCACAAAATTTAATGATCCCACAGTGTGTGTTCTTCGCCCTTGTTACAGAGGTTCTTCAAAGCAAAAGTTTCTCTGTAATACATTTTGCTTCTTGTCCCCTGAATTTTGTTGTGGAGAGAGTCATAGGTGCTTTGTTACCACACACACTCAAGTAAGACTCAGACCTTGGATTTTCTGCTAAAAATTTAAAAAACATTTTATCCCTGCATCTCAGTTTTCAGTTTCCAAAATTCCTGTTTCAAGAATTGTGTTGTATGAAACTCTTAATTCAAGCCCACTGCCAAGTTTACTTTAAGGAGATGTTTTTCTTTCATACTAAATAAAGGAAGGGGTGAAGAAAGTTACCAATTCGAAAAAAAAAATCCAATTAAAATGTGTAACAAACTATGACATGCACCTGATTTTTTTCTCTCTCCGATTTATTGGAAAAAGGGTGCGTGTGGTATTAGCTGGAATAAAGTACTGTACCTGAAAATGAGTTAAAATTGAGGCGACACCTATGTAACACAAAGTAAAAGTAGTGCACTCGGGACGCGTTGGGGTGGAATCACAAAAAAGGGGCAAAAGCTGTGTTTTTTTGTCTCTTGAATTTTTGGTTGTTCCGTTTGAAAGCAACGTGGGCATCACGTGGCGTATCTTGACCCACTGGGAATCAAGATTGAGGAGCAGTACAAGAAGTATTGCACCATGACCCAGGAGAACTTGACCTTGGAGGAATACAGGAGGCATTATATCATGAGTGAGTACTTGAACATTTTCGTTGTTGATTGATTGATTCTCTTGGCAAGACAGAACGAGATTTTGTTTAATAAATCGTCTCGTGAACCGTTTCAAAAAAAAAATCGTCATTGCTGTTGGATTTAGGATAGGTATTCATATTATGAACTTCTGAAAAAAGAAGCACAAATCAGCTTGCTTTTGATTATGAATTAGAGTGAATTTATTGTGAAATATTTTTTTCAGTTTATATAAATTTAAATACTGTAACTTGATATCTGCAAAATATATAAAATTGAAAAAATTGAATGTTTCAATTGTTGGGAAGTATTTCAGAAAAGTGTCCCTAACTTGAGCCAATGTCGGGGTGTCAGCATATCTGGGTCTCACTGTAATTGAAAAATTGTTGACTGGAACTTTTTTTGAATCACAACAATTGGAAGCGTACTGAATTTAGGTTGAATTTATCTTCAAATTTTGAATCCGGTGGTAAATTCTGATTTTCGTGTGGAAATAATTTTGAAAATATTTTAGTTTTGCAGTTGCTAAAAATGGGGTGCGTGATTTACTAGGTGATAGGATTTCATTAAAATTTTAGAATAAAAAATTGCGGTGCGTGTCTTACTTGGAAACGCGAGTATATATGGTACTTTTGGGGAACCCTGTGACGAAAGGCGGGTCATTGAAACGAGTTTTAAAT